TTTAAGAATATTTTTTAAAAAGAATAAAATAATTATAGTAGATTAAAAAATTAATCTAAAAAACCACGTTTTCAAAAAGCAAAAAATAACCTTAAACGTGGTGTGCATGGAGATTGTTGGGAAGAAGTGAAATACAAATGAAATAGATGCGCACAACGTTTAAGGTTATTTTTTGCTTTTTGAAAGCGTGGTTTTTTAGATTAATTTTTTAATCTACTATAATTATTTAAAATTCATTGTCAAATTTGATCATTTTGTAAAAGGCTAGGTATATTTACAAATATTGCAGAGAGAAAAAAATGGCTACAGTACTTCAGGCAATAAAATGCTTTTACAGATTATGAAGTGTATTTCTTTGGATAAACCTATGAATCTCAATATAGCGAATTTTTCATTACAACGAATTGTTTCCCAGTCCCTGGGAGTTTGTTTTAATGAGATTCTACTAGCTAAAAGGACTGAAATATTCGAGTTGAGGAGGTTCGAGAGGGCATTTGAGTTGGAGAAATTTTTTTTCTTTTGCTTCATCAAGTGAAGAATCGCTTCAGGCTTAATGCTAAATTTGTCCATGTAAATTTTTCGAAATTTCAATAAAATCAATTTTTCTGCAATATTTTTTCAAGTTCAAGACTGCGGAAAAATTGGCAGAAACATCGGGATGCGTCTTATGCGAGGTGACGTGTTAGACCCTCACAATCTTTCATTCGCGAATTTCCTGAAGTTTAATTTCACAAATTTATTTCTAGATTTTTCATTTGAAGAGTGGAAGAGCTGAAATAGTTATTTATTTTGTGCAATGTTGTAGAGATTATAACGGTAAGTGGTGCATGATTAGAATCATAAAATTCCCCCAGCTCGCAAAAAATCGAATGTAATTCGTCTCTTATAATATCAGCCGGAATTTTCTTCATGTTTGAGCCCAAAATATTGACGCATCGAAAAAACTGAAGGCATTTTTATATTCAAGCAAATACGATGGAAGCGTTGAAGAAAATTTAATCGATTCGCCGAGTGTGGTCAGGTTCAATTCATTGCGAAGCCTCAGGTGAGATTTGTTCTGAATACAGAAGCACCGCACGTGAGAATGGAATATTTTTTCTTCGAATATCTCACTGAATGGTGTTTTGTGAGTGAAGGCCTTTTGTGGGATTTCACCCCCTTTTTCTTGTGTGCTATATGTACAAAAAGGGCGACAACGAGAAAAAGCACCGAAACGAAATATACGAGGTATAGGGTGCTTTTTTTGTTGGACCCATAATGAAGCACCCGGTTCGTTAAGTGCCGAGTCCGAAGTCTTTTTTTTTTTTTTTGAATTTTTTATTTGTTGCTTTTTTCGTGTCATAAACCGAATTCTTCGCCGAAAAAAAAGGGTAGGTTTCTATCCGTACCCAAAATGATGCAAAACAATGCTTCAGAAAATGAGAAGTGTTCTTTGCGATATCGAATAAGTTTCAGCGAATGTTTACGCATAGATTTATTTTTCCATCTTCAGTGTTTTTGGTTCAGAGAAGTCCGGTAAGTTTCCGGGTTTATTCGAATGAATGTAATTTAATGCCATGTCAATTCAATGTACAGTATTTTAATTTATGTGTCCTTTGCGATATTGAGTTAGTTTGAGCTCATGTTTACTCATAGATTTATTTTCACCATTTTCAGTGTTCCAGTTCTAGGAAGGTCGAGTGAATGAATCATTCGAATAAATTTAATTTAATTCAAACATGCTAATCGTCAATTTCAGAACAGTGGATTGTAAAGATGTGTGAAGTGGAAGAAACGGAGAGATCATCGCACTTGGGAACTAAAGAACAGTGAGTTGATTTTCTGAACGATTGTCTCTTGAATTTATTCAAAATGGGAACTCCCGTTATGCACTGAAACCATTTGCATGTCTATCTGTCTCGTCTAAGGTGTGCAATTTGAATATGATCAGCAATTTTATTTTTATCTTTTGCAGTTGGGAAGAAGCGTACAGCTCTGAGCTGAGAAACTTTGAAGAAGACGAAGATGATGTTGGCGACGTTTGGTTTGGTCGCCAGTGTTTGAAAAGAGTCGTTGAAGCCTTGAAGCGTCGTTGGGATGATCCAATGTCACGATCGGAAGTTTCAGTATTGGATTTGGGGACGGGAAATGGGGTCACTTTAGTTGAACTAGTGAGTGATCTAAATTCATTTTAATCATTATCGTTTTACAGGGTGGACCTGGAATAAAAATGCAGTATTCATCAAAATCACTTGAAAATTATGTTCACCTGTGAATTCTTCAGAGAAAAATTTAGTGATGAATGGTTCTTTCGCTGATTCCCCTCAGTTGACTGATCAATCCATGAATCTCCGCTTTAAAATAGGTCTACTATTTTTCATACTGCTCCACCCTTTACATTCAAGAAATTTCGAAATTTGAGTTTGATTGAAAACGTATTTTCAGCGCAAGGCTGGCTTCAAAAAATTGTCTGGGATCGATTATGTTTCCTCGAGCATCGATCTGGCGAATGCGATTCTTGTTAAAGAATTTGGCATTGATCACGGGACGCATTTATGCGTAAGTTGATCTTCAAAATATACTTGATTTCTGTTTAAAAAAATTATTATAATTATGCACTTTTTTGATTGCTATTTACTATAATAATAAAAAAGCTTTTCGGCTTATTAGTACGTATTTCATGTTCTACCACGTATAAACAACGGATGGACGCAACGAATTTGGTTGTGATTTTAGAAATAAAAAGTGCGAGGATTATTCAAAAATTTAAATTTAGGTTTCAGTAAATCAAAACTTGACAAAAGCACGTTTACGATAAATTGTTTCTAGATTCGACTTTCGTATTCTGGTCCAACATGCGATGAATATTTACGAGAAAGAAAACATCTAGAGTTGTATTGAAATGCTTTCTTTGTGATTTTGAAATGATGAAGAAAAACAGTCCTTGACAAGCATGAAATACAGCGTGTGAACCTTGGAATATTGAGCGGCTTCCCTGAACCTTTGCTTTCTCTAAGACGTCAAGTTTTGAATCAAGGGTCAGTTCAGGGCTCAAGTATAAATTCACATGCAGTATTTTTATTGCATAACTTTTAGAGATTTCCTGATATTTGTGACCCATTGTTTGAAAAATAGGTGAAGTTTTCACTGCTCTAGCTTGAAATAAAATTGTTTTGCTAAAAGGATTTCCCTCGAATTTTAATGGTTAAATATTTTATATATTCCTGACCCGCGAAAAGTCTTTGGAAATTACTCGTGTTTTTTTGCAGTGTATGGATTTCATGAATGAATCGGACTTCACAACATTAGAAAACGTCCCGTTCGACGTTTGTTTCGACAAAGGAACTTACGACGCCATTCGACTGAATCCAGATTGTTGCGCGCAGAAAACTCCGAAAATTTATGCGCAAAATGTGAAAAAAATGCTGAAGCCTGCGGGTATTTTGGTGCTGACTTCCTGCAATTGGACTGAGGCTGAACTAGTTTCCCACTTTATCGACGGTAAGATCCAAACCTTTTCCCATGCTGAAATGCACTGAATTCTCAATATTTTATACTATGTCCAGAGCTCGAAAGAATCGACACTGTCACGCATCCCAGCATGTCATTTGGCGGTGCGACAGGAAGCACCTGCACAACAGTGATTTTCAAAGTTTTGTGACAAAATTTCTTACTGAAATGAATTTATCTCGCGTTACTGAAACAATATTTCGAAATCATTTGAAAATCCAGCGATCAGAAACTCAGCTTTGAAATATTATTGATTGACGAACGATGGATTCGTCGTCCCTTGTGGTTGAATTTCATTCAATTCCACTTCAATGCCGTGTTCTTCTAAAGGCAATTTTTCTTCCTTTTCCTCCCGAGGAATTTTGACAGTCAGCACAGTCTTGATGTCAACTGTGAAAGTATGAAAGCAAGGTTTTGTAACAAACTTTTCAAAAGTTTTTTCTTCATGCTTACAGTTCTCCAGTGGTCTGAAAATAACTTTCTCCAGTCCCAAGAAAGGCATCTCAAACGCAAGTGAAAAAACAAAGGCCAGTAACATGGATATAATGAGGACAGCGACGTACAAGTAAACCTAAAATACATTATCTCATCAGCACAAGTTGATAAAATCAAGTGAGGAAACCAATAATTAGATCACGTTACCATCTGAATGTAGTCCATCCACATGGGGGACCTCCTGGCAGCCTGATACATGGTTTGCACTGGAACAGACAGCAAATATGTGCAATATGTCAATCTGGACAGTGGCATGAAGGCTTTCCAGCTCAGGAAAGTATTGACAAAGCCCCCGTAACCATTGGCACATGCAAAGACAACCCATGCCAGACAGAGTGTCCATACATTGCGAAACATGGACCAAAGGGCAGATTCTGTTCTGCCTGGGGAATCCATGCTGTCAAATTTGAAATACCTCACTGGGCCATAGATGATGGCGAGGGCACTTCCTGTGGCCAAGGTCCATCCAGCAATGACAGCCCACTGCCAGAAAGATGAAAGGATATTTGGTAATCTGCTCCCAATTATGAGTCAACATGTCTATTTATGAAGACCTTTGGATAACAAAATGTATCAAGAAATATAAATTTTTGTTGGACTGGGACCAATTTGTACTTGAAAAAGTTTGTAAACAAACAAACACGCCTTTGATCCTCAAGGTTGATTTCATAAATGATCAGAAGTAATATTGGATCATCAATATCCCTTCATCCTGGATAAGTAATACAGGTGGACTCTCCATACAACAAAATTCAAAGGATCACAAACAAATTTATTGTAGAGAACCCTTATATAAGATGAGAGGACCCAAAGGGTCCCAAAAAAAGTTGCTACACACTAGAATCTTGTTACAAAGAATTGGATTCGGCAAAATGAATTAATGCTCACAGCAAATTCTTTTGTTGGTCCATATCCAATATAGCCATTATGCTGTTTTAATTTGATTTCAAAAATTATTTTTATTACAAAGCTTTTTAAAAGTCCTGAACCGTTTTTTGTCAAGAAATTCAACTGTACAGATAAAATTTTACTAGGCAAGTTTTTTGCAGAGGGAGTCCACCTGTAATGGATCCTTGAGATATGAAACTGCTCAAATTAAAAGTACACAGCATTTCAGCCAACATTTTTGTGAATGAATCACATTTTGGTTATGGTTGATTCAAGACAGTAATCATATTACAGTGCTACAGGTTGACACTCTCTACTACCGTCTTGTCTACAACAATTTTCTCTGTATGATAAATTTTTTGTGGTCCCATATGGTTCCTGTATATTCATGTGTACATCTGCTGGTGGGAAAAAGAAATGCCACTTGTCCACCTTTATTTAGTTTTCTTTTAGCCAAATCAGCAGTATTTTTTTTTGGAAATGTTCCCTGGCATTCTCAAATTCATGTAAGTAAAAATGGAGAAATACAATTGTGACTAGTATATATGAAATAATTAAAATCTTTTTTGTACATGATCAAATTCCATCTTGTTTCCCATATGTAATTCCAGATCCCAAGCACAATGACTAACCTTGGGTAAGTTGAACTTCTTTCCTCGCAGTTTGTGCATCACATAGCCCAAGGCCATTCCTATGACATACGGACCTCCTCTGACGTGCATTTGAGTATATGACTTCAAAAAAAAATCAATCATTTTCGGATCAAGGAAGCCTGAAAAACCGTATGCCTTACAATACAGTCATACTATGGGCCATGCATGTAAACATACTCGCAAGTGATGGAAAAAATACTGGAGCAATGTCGTTGACAACAGTCACAACAATTGGTGATGTCCAGAATCCCAGCATTATGGCCCCCAAAGAAAAATACCCCAATTTTGGGTAGTGGTACATAACAAGTAACAATAATGGACTCAGCACATACAACTGCATGTCACAAAAAAGGTACCAAGCTTGTCCTATGCAATTGGTTTGCAAACCAGGGTCGTAACTATCAAAGTTTCCTATGTAGAGCATATTGATCCACCAGGTGTCCTTGCAATTTTGAGCAATACTCTCCACTTGGTACCAAGATGGACCATCTCCAAGCCTGCGGAAAACTGTAATCTGAAGGACAATGAGTGCTGCAAGAGCTGGTGTAAGTCTCAAATAGCGATGCAGTATGTAAAGGACAATGTTGAGTTTTCCCTTTGATTTTTCCAATTGTCTGAATGATATATATGTGAGGAGGAGACCTGACAGGAAGAAGAAGCTGTCCACTGACACAGTTGAATTGGTCACAGCCATCATAGTGAAGTCCTTGGTCATCTGCAAATATTTTTTCATGATTTTTCAGCACGTATGAAAGAGACAATGGTGGAACAATGTGAGAGATTTTGGGCTGACCAAAGGTATTCAAACTTTCTTTTGACAAGCAGGGTTAACTTCTTAATTTCCATTAAAAAATGACAATGTACTATAAAAAATCCCCTGGGATCTGGAACAGAGTTTTTTCAACAAAAAATGTCATGAAATGATTAGAATAAATTATGGCTCTGGCAAGAAGGGGCCAGTAAAAATAATTTATTGCGAAAATAATTGCGTTACATCAAGCTTTGTTGAAATAAGATTCTACTGATAATAAAAATACAGAATTCCGAAGTTGGGCTTTTCCTCATGGCAACAAGGTTATCAGTCCATGAGGCGGCCTTGTAGGTCCCAGCTCTGTTATTCCCCATTAAACAAGAACTTGCTGAGCAACACAGATTATTCAGACTTTTCCAACTTCAGCCATAGACTTGCACAATTTGATTGAAATTGCAAGGGAGTAAAGTATGCGAAACATATCAAAACATCACTGGCAAAAGAGTAAACCATACCTCTGTCACAGCTCTGATTCCATTTGCCCACACTGCTGATGAACTAAAAAGAAAGCAATGTCCAAGCACAACCCACGTCATGGATATGAACCTAAAATTAAATGAGATTTATTTTCAAATATCTTCAAAACATGGAATTTTGGAAGTCATACCTTATTCCATCAAGGCATCCAATAGCTGCGCTATTCCTGGAAGTACTAAGAAGTTTCTCTCCATTTGTCCAGACAGAAAAAGATATCAGGGTTTGCACTCCAAGATCTATATTTGCAAAATTTCAAACCCAAACTCTATACACATATTTTTTGAAAAAAAATTCTCAAATCTGCCAAACCTTTTTTAATATTTGTCCATTTTTCTGGGTTTTCTCTGATTCTCCAATCAAGCAGGGTTGCTGAAATCATTACTATCAATATGGCTGACAAAATGCTCCTGTAAAAATTAAAAATAATTTGTTCAAATACTTTGCGCAGTGGGACTGAAACTCACGTTACAAGGATGTCAGCTGAATCCAAGGTCTTCTTCTCACCCTGAATTTGACAGTCTAACACAGCGAACAGATTTGGAGTTGAAACAGCTTGTTCTGATACCATTGTGGGAAATGCCAAAGAGACAAGGTTTGTTGCAAACATGTCTACCAATATCTGTTATAGATTCAGTCAATCACCATGCTATTTAAAATCATTTCAATTATGGGGTATTCTCAAAAGTCTTCCAAAATAACCATAAACCATTGTTTTAGTCAGATGAAACTCATAGAATACAACCGCCCAATCCTGAAATATGGACAAGAAGGTCAACAAACAAATTTTGTGTGTGACAAAATGTTTTTGTGGAAAATAGCACTTAATTACATTGATTATTTGTATGTTACTTCCAGGGTGGTTTGTAAATCACAAAAATCATGGAAGATACAGTACATGGAAACATCTCACCAAGGTAAAGTTATTTGTGTGAAAAATTTTGCTAGGCTGCTTTGAAATATTTTGGGGAGAAATAATTTCATGAATAAATTTTATTACAGAAGGTGAAATGTTTACTGATCAAAATTTGGGGTCTGGAAGTTCAGGGATAGAAGCAGATAATTGAGAACTTCAGAGATATTTCCAGAACAGTCCTGCAAAATAAGGTCACACATACAAGGATCCTTGTCAAAAAGGGATAAAAAATACTGTAATTGAAAATCTGTATGATTATCATCATAGCCCAATTTTCATCATCTGTGAATGCACAGTATATCATCTACACTTTGGTTGAAATTAAATACAGTTGAACCTCTCTAAGTCAAATTTCTAGGGACCAAGAAAAATTTTCAACTTGGGCAGGTTCTGATTTTTGGAGGTTTCCATTTACAGAAAAAAAAACATTTTTTTTGAGAGGAGAAGTAAAAAAATTGCAGAATATTGTGAATTAGGATATTCTGGGCCTAATCTTGTTTCTTGATGAGTTTACACATTGCTGAACTTGGAGGCAGGGGTTCATTTGCTCTATTAGTCTTTAAATCCCTTTCAAGATGCATTATGCCATTTGTTTTATTGATTATTGCTTTCAAATTTCAAGGAAATAATAACAAAAAGGCCTCAGAAAGTTTGACTCACAGAGATTTTATTTTTTAAAAAATGCTTGAAGTTAGGGAGGCTTTTAATGTATTGATTCTAAGGGCATTTATAGACAGGGACTTTTTAAAAATTTTTGACTTACGGAGGTACAGTTGTCAACTTAGCAAGGTTCAACTTAACAAGGTTCAGCTGTATAGATTTTTAAAGCTGAAGATTATATGCACCAAGTTCCATGTGCTTCCAATGACAATTGATTGCTGGATTACAGAACTTTTGAGAAACCCCTTTGTATATTCAAGATGAAGTACTGTGCCTCAATATCCCGGGCTGAGCATGAGGAAGGGAAACATCCACCAAAGCCAATTCCTGAAAAAGATGGAAACATGCTTCCATAATAGGAATTCAGCTGCAGCTGGACATCCCCTGTTTTTGCAATCCTTGGCAGATTCTGCAGTAATTTCTCAATGTTTTGGTGTGGACCAAACAGTGAATGGAAATCTGTGTTCCTTTGAATACTGTTGCGTATGAATGCCTCCCTGAACTCAGCACTTGTTGCATTGCTTGTCATCATTCCTTGTGTACTGCAAAATATAATTGATCATCAATAAACTGTATTTTTTTGTGGGTGATTAATAACTCAGTATACGTCACTTCAACAGTACAGTGCAGTATTTTCCTTGAAAAATGTCCTCTGGACTTGTGGGATTTTCTGTTGCCCTGATGGCAACGCATTGATCAAAATTACCAGTTGCCATGACATTGCCCCACTTGATTCCATCATTCAGTTTCCCAAAAGCATCAAACACTGATATTAAAAAAAAAAAGTGTATGCCACTAAAATATATTGATAAAATGAAGACTTACTTTCAAAGGCCCAGGGTTTCAGCTGCAAAAGTTGACCCAGGGATAAGATGATGTGTGAAAGACAAACAGAACTAATTGTTTCAGATGTCACTGCATTGATGGATGCTTTGTGTTCCAGCTCAGCATTTCGCAATGTTTCAATCATGCTGTGGATTGTTTCATTGCCTTTTTGCATCAGTTTTCCTGTGTAAAAAAAATCCAAATATAATATAATCATGAATTCCTGAATAAAATATTGTACATGAAACATTTTAGTAAAATTTTGGCATACAAACCTGTGTCAAAAAAATAATGAAGAGCCAGTAATTGATAATTGATAATTTTGTATTGAATAGTTGATTTTGGTGATTCAGTAACTGATCATTTATCATGATGATTTAGTAATTGATCATTTAATTTGATAATTCAGTAATATAACTAATTAAATTAATTCACTTGACAGAAAATTTTGGGCCAGAAATTAAAATTCAAATATAGCTGCACATAAAGTCGAGTCCACTTATTTTTCACTAAGTTGATTTTTAAATTAAATTTTAGATTTATTGGAGGCTGACTAAAATTTCAGAAAATCTCTGTTCTTGAAATAGAAAATTTGTTCTACTGAAATGAGGGAAATTTAGGATGCGCGTATTACTTGAGAAAAATTGTACTCAAGTAAATACGGTATACAGTACTGTATAAATAATCTTCCTTTTTTCAGGACGTACCAATTATGCAGAAAAATACGCCTTTCCAACCAAATTGAAAAAAACTGAGCAAAACACAAGTTCTTCATAAACAGGACTGTCAATAACAAAGTACTGTAATATCATCAAATCCCATATTTCTTGAGACATTGTATTCAATTCTTTGTTTTAAAAAATCGAATCATTCCGCGATCCTCAAGATGATTTGCTCATTTTTCAGCACCGTTCTGCATAATTTATCATACGAAAAAATATTTAAACTGCAATCATGGATGCTCAAGCCATGTGGAAGATTTTTTCGAAGAAAAATCGAAAAAAATACTCTTGCTTATTTCCATATTTATTGTACATCAATATTAAAATTTTTCGCATTGAAAATGAGGATTCAATCAGTTTTGAATACGTACCAACATTCCCCAGTGAATCAAAGTTGAACTTTGCTCCTTTTTTAACGCGTTGGTGCAATTGCGCAAGATGAGCCTTCACTTGCATTGGCGAAATCCAGTTTCTCTCTGATGAGAGTGTAACTGCCTCAGGGTGTAAATGGGATCTAAATGGCATCGCTTGTCCATTGACATAATTAATCGTAGCCCCATAAACTGCGATTGCAGCAACAATCAGAGCAAATGGAGATCGCATCGCGATCCCTTCAAATATCTCTCAACTCGCTTCTGTATATTTTAGCTGTCAAACTTGCTTCTATTTCTGTAAAAAAAAAAAATAGAGAGGGAATCAATAATGAAGCAAGAGGAAGATTTTTTTTCAACAAAAATGCATTTTCCCCTAATTCAAATTTTGAAGCTGGTCTCTTGAAGTTTTGACTGCATTGCGACATTTTAGGCAGAAAATTTGTAATAATCTCAGCTTCCTAAAGGGTATGTGTCATTTGAGCAAAATATAGTACAGTATACTTATATACTAACACAGATTTTGAACAAAAATGACACACTGCTGCACAGCAGTACAGTGGGGTCTTGGCTTATAAATACTACAGCTTGCAAACTTTTCAGCTAACAAATTTTTATTTTTGGCCTCAGCTGCTCCAGCTGACAAACCATGACTTGGCTTACAAACTTTGAGTTCTCCAAATGCTCAGCATGGGTCTAAAATTTTCATTTTATTTAGAAACATCTAGGGATTCATGTTTAAACTTATTGAAAAATTCATCTAAGAAAGTCTCAGAAGTTTATAGTGACCAATTCTTGATCATCAATTTTTTTTATTCATTCCAATTGGGTTAAAATTTGACAGCTTTTTAGCATTAAAATTTCCCATCCTTGGTCTGTGAATAAGTTTGCAGCATTGCATTAGAAATTTTCAAGAAAAAACCTCTGGAAAAACTCACTTCAAAATTTCCCTCCTATGGATTGTTTTTTTGCAGTGAGTTTCTTGTATATTTATTATCTTAAGAAGATTTAATGGATTTTAGGCCTAAAATATTTTTCAAGATGCATTTTCTTGAATGTCATGGGCATTTTCAAGGTTCTGGAACCAATTAAAATTATTCCTAGACTTTCTTCAGGGAAAATATGATTTGGCTTCCAAATTAGTTGGCCAACAAACTGTGTTTGGGAACCTTTCAAGTTTTTAAGCCAAGACCTCACTGTACTAGCATTTAGTTATACACTTCCCACAGAGGGAGAAATACTAATAATGTGGCACCAAAATAATCAGATGCGATCAGATATCCACCATGATGAACTGCTCTTTGTCTATGACTCTATAAGGAACACACTGAAAATATTTTAATGTGGTAGTCATCATCAGCGTCCGTCTTGCAGAGTAGATAATGATGCACTTGACTTCATTAGTCAGAAAAACGTCTTCCCTGCAGTTTATCTATAATTCTCGGCGATAAGCAACACGCATAGATTCGTATGGATGATAGTTCATGTTCTGGTATGTTTCTCCTAAATCAACGGTCAGTTATTTTTCAGAAAAGAAAATTTGATGATTCTCAACGATCATTACGCTTGAAGGAAGTGATCATGAAAACCTATTCAAATACTACAGCCCTTTCACAGAAAAATAAAATTTCAAAGCCATGCGATATTCGGAAGATTTTCAGAAGATTTCGAACAAAATGTTGTTCTGAAATCACCCGCGAATGCGAAAAGCGCCGCATCACATACACATGATAGCAAATTTTCAAGCATGACATGCAAAGGACTCGAGAAAAGCAACATCTTGATTACCAAAGAAAAAGCCAGAGAAAGATCCGAACAATAAAATCCGCAAGTACTGTAATGGCATTGATTTCTGTTCAGTTGAATTTTCATTTAACCTTCGAACATATTTGTTGGATTGGTAAGTTTGGTAATTTTTATTTTAATAGCAAGAGACACAAGTAATCACAGACAATATGCACTAAAATAGAGCAAGAAGAACAATTCCACGCCTAACATGACTCACAAATCAATCTCAGAACGTCCGGTTCTGCGTCATACAAAGTGTTTTCAGTGAAAACTTAAACATGTAGAATGGAAGAACTCCGTATACAGTATCTTCGGTCGAGAATACCATCTTTGAAAAGATCCTTTCTTGGTTGGACTTCGTGGCAGCAAAGAAAAAATATTCAAGGATAACTTATTGGTCATATTCACGAGCTGGAGTGGGTTAGTCTTGCCGGTTTTTCGTAGAGGTAACCCTTTCTGTCAAGGATATAAACGGAATAAATTTAAGGTTTCTGAGCTGAAGTCTGAAGAGGCTTCATGCGAAGCCTGCCCTCAGTCAGATGTGTCCAAGTGAGCAAATGCTTTGGAATGACAATTAGTCTTCATTAAGTTTCCCGTAATCGTTGATCCATCAAATAAGAGAAATCACGCTTGAGATTGTTATTCTGAATATAGCACTGTATCTGTCTAATTCATGCAATGATCGTCGGTCAAGATTTGTTTTAATCCTGTGTTCCTATTTGTTCCTGTGTTCCTAACTGTTCCCTTAGCTCAGTCGTTTTCGGGGCGCAGCCAAAAAAACTCAACCATAAGCAATCCGAGTCAACAGCGAGAAAGTTCCGGAAATGCATCTTTGCAACGAGGTGCGAACATCGCAGCGCCTTTCGAAGCTCTCGCCACCGCAAGCATAAGCCGTCAAAAATAACCAAAATTATTGGGAACCCTAATAGGGAAGAGCTTCTTGTGTTACACGGATTCACCACGTGCAAGATTTCAATGTGTTGCTATGGGTCGAGTCTGGGGATGATCGCGAATAACTCTAGTCAGTATACGACTCCACGTCATCTGATATTACATGCGATTTTATTATTCGTCGCGAAAAAATAAAATGCAACATAAAATGACCCGAGTGTAGCCTCATGCGATCAGTCGGTTGATAAGAACTGAACACGGTTGGTCTCAGTTCAGCTTCTCGATCGGGGGATGGCGAGAATAGGAAGGGTCTGGTCAAACGAGTGAGTGAATCGAATCTGCGAGCGAAATCTGAACTCAGGTGAGCAATTGTGATATGCTGGGAAAAGGTTCGGGCTTCAGTCGACTATTGATGGCCTTGAGGTGTGCCGGTTGTTTCGCACGGATGGGGGCTGAAACCCTCATTTGACCTTCACCTTCTTCCCGTTCTCCTGTTCTCTAGTCCCAAACACAACGGAAAGTTCACAATTGCTCCCAAGTATTCCCAGTTATATCTGTCCGATATAGCGCGGTTTGAACTCATCGTGAAACCCTCGCACTGTTAATAAGGATATTTTTAACTCGTCATCGAAAGGTTGTTACATCTTCCGCGGTCGAAACGAAGAACTACACCGGAGATTCGAACGAGTGAATGTGGAAGATTCGATAACTGATCCTTAAAGGTGATTGCACTAAAGCACAAGCACTCCACGAAAATATGAACACGTCTAGTGCATTTAATGGGACGGTGGATCCCATGGAAGCCATTCGCAGACTCGAGGCGACCATGGAATCCATGAAGATCAACAGCGACGACGCGTTTCTCGTCTCTTCCGCAATGATCATCTTCTGTGAGTTCGAAGTTACGATTCACAGGCTGCGAAAATTGTCAGTCCCATACAGCAATTGAGAATTTCACTTATTTCCAGTCATGCAAACAGGATTCGCATTCCTGGAAGCAGGCGCAGTCCGCTCAAAAAACACGACCAACATTTTACTGAAAAACCTACTGGACACTTGTGAGTACTGTATAGCCACGGGTCAGAGATACAGTATAGCAATTAGACGTGGAATTTCGTACAGTGAGTCTCCACGCAATCCTGGGTAGTTTTCAGCGATATGTTCTCTGAATTTTGAAGAAGATCCAGGTACAGCACTTCAACTCATAATTCAACAGATGAATAGTTCAAAGGTTAAAACTAATAACTTCAAATAACTGTTTCACAAAGTAGCCCAAACCCGGGCAATTTCAATGTTTCATATATTTCGGGTTCAATGATGAAATCTGAAAACTTGCTTTTTCTTTTCTCGTTGGTCATCAACGAGTATTCCGAAGTAGAAACAATGTTAGTTTTACCAATGTATGTACAAAACGTCACTCAGTGAACCACATTCATTTTAAACATTATTTTGTGAATGATGTTAACCGGTTCATTTTTTGTAGTCATTGGTGGTTTATCCTATTGGCTGATCGGGTACGGTATTGCATACGGCACTGGAAGTCCCTTCATCGGTCTGAACAAATTTGGCACCACTGGATTGCTGCCGGATGAGTACGCCCGCTGGTTCTTTCAATTCGTGTTCGCAGCCACTTCAGCGACGATTATATCCGGTTCGGTGGCCGAAAGATGCTCCTTTTTTGGCTACTTCGCCTACGCAGTACTTCTGTCAGGTTCGTGGTCGGGGATTGCTAGTGAATGCATCTAGAGCTCTGGATTTCTATAGACTTGAAGCTCTGGAAGGATCTCCGACATCAAAAAGAATGACACCGTGAACTTGTTTCTTAGAAGCGTCATCTACTTACGTTGACCATAAAATCCACGAGTCGATAAGGAGTATTTGTTCATGAGAGCGAGTTTCGCAACCCAGTACAGTATTTAAACCGAAAACAGATGTCACCGGAAAATACCTTAGTCCGGTATGAAGTACAATACTGTACAGTATGTTGAAAGAATTGCTCGAATTTCCCACAAGGGCTAATCTTGGCATAAAAGCTGCAGTTGAAGAGTTTTTTTTTAAGAAAAAAGTGAATTTTGATGAACTTTTCTTTGAATCCAGGATTTGTTATAGGACGTACACGTGTGACCCGTACCAGACTTCTACCGACCGAGGTGCAGTGACTCAAGGTGCTAAAACGACCGTCGTCGTAGCAGGTACAGTGACCTCCCAGTCGTCGTAACTAACGAACGTAAATTCTGGGTCCACGGATTGGTAGAGTTGACCCGGAAACTGGGAAGCTGAAAGCAATACGAGGCCATTCTGTGCCTGTGAGTAAAAAAAAATCAAAAGCTTTCAAACTCTGCTGCTGGAACATAAAAAAACTGAAAACTCCCATAAAGCCACCCCTCTCTGTCCCAAATTAATTCAGGTTGTTGACATACTAGTTCATGTAATGTAGATTAAAAAATCAGAATTAAGTTATAAAAAATGCCTTACCATTCAATTTAAAAGTTCAATGAAGAAAATAATAATAGTCAATATTTTTTTTTTCATGCACTATAAATACTGCTTAATGAAATTTTATTTGAAGATAAGGTACAGTCATTGTTCAAAGTACAACTGCAGTTTGTACTAGAAACTCCAATTGCTGTACACACAGTTGCTAAATAATAATTAATTTTCATATTTTTTTTCTCAGTTGGCTGCTCTGGGTGGCTTCATCCTCTTGTTTGGGTTCCTTGCATTCAATGGAGCATCTCAAGGATCAATTTCCTCACCAGGAGATGGGGCAAAAGTTAGCCTTGCTGTGACCAACACCATTCTCTCTGGATGCTCTGCTGGTCTGGCAACCCTGCTTCTACATAGACTGGGTATATTTGCTGCTAAGGGTGAAAAAACACACTGGAGTTTCTTGGTCACCTTGAATGGAGCCCTGACTGGCATGGTTTGTTTTTGTTCTTTTAAAATTTATAGGGTCCTGTTTTATTGTATTATTGCATCTTCTGTCCAGGTTTCAATTTGTGCTGGCTGCAATGTGTATGCGACATGGGCAGCAGTTATTGTGGGCTGTGGAGCAGCTGTTGTCTTTTTGGCTTCCAAGAGGGCTACTGAGCTGACAACAGGTTAAAAGCAGCACAAATCCTTCAATTTTTTTTTTCTCATGGAAATCATTTGTCAAAATGGTTTTCAGTTATTGATGATCCACTGGATGCTGCTGCAGTTCACCTTGGAGGTGGAGCTTGGGGTATGATAGCCTGTGGTCTGTTGTCGAAGGATGGACTCATGGCTGGAAATCCTAAGGTATAGACTTTAAAAATTGTTCAAAATAGTTTTCAGCTTCACAGAAAGGTATTATGGCCTTTGTCAATTTTAAAATGGAGGTGTAATTCTGTTATAAAACAGTACCCTATAAATTTTAAAAGAACAAAAACAAACCATGCCAGTCAGGGCTCCATTCAAGGTGACCAAGAAACTCCAGTGTGTTTTTTCACCCTTAGCAGAATATCCTGCATGTGCACACTGGGCATGGTCTGAAGATGGCTGGCTCCACGTCACTGAGTTCCACGATTTTGCTGGCAGCAGCATCGTCCATGTCACTGGAGGGTCAGCAGCATTGATTGCTTGCATTCTTCTGGGTCCACGGATTGGCAGAGTTGACCCGGAAACTGGGAAGCTGAAAGCAATACGAGGTCATTCTGTGCCTGTGAGTAAAAAAAAATCAAAAGCTTTTAAACTCTGCTGCTGGAACATAATAAAACTAAAAACTCCCATAAAGCCACTCCTCTCTGTCCCAAATTAATTCAGGTAATTGACATACTAGTTCATGTAATGTAGATAAAAAAATCAGAATTAAATTATAAAAAATGCCTTACCATTCAATTTAAAAGTTCAATGAAGAAAATAATAATATTCAATATTTTTTCATGCACTATAAATACTGCTTAATGAAATTGTATTTGAAGATAAGGTACAGTCATTGTTCAAAGTACAACTGCAGTTTGTATTAGAAACTCTAACACACAGTTGCTAAATAATGAGAATCTTCATATTTTTTTCTCAGTTGGCTGCTCTGGGTGGCTTCATCCTCTTGTTTGGATTCCTTGCATTCAATGGAGCATCTCAAGGATCAATTTCCTCACCAGGAGATGGGGCAAAAGTTAGCCTTGCTGTGACCAACACCATTCTCTCTGGATGCTCTGCTGGTCTGGCAACCCTGCTTTTACATAGACTGGGTATATTTGCTGCTAAGGGTGAAAAAACACACTGGAGTTTCTTGGTCACCTTGAATGGAGCCCTGACTGGCATGGTTTGTTTTTGTTCTTTTAAAGTTTATAGGGTCCTGTTTTATTGTATTATTGCATCATCTGTCCAGGTTTCAATTTGTGCTGGCTGCAATGTGTATGCGACATGGGCAGCAGTCCTTGTGGGCTGTGGAGCAGCTGTTGTCTTTTTGGCTGCCAAAAGGGCTACTGAGCTGACAACAGGTAAAAAGCAGCACAAATCCTTCAAGTTTTTTTTTTTCTCATGGAAATCATTTGTCAAAATGGTTTTCAGTTATTGATGATCCACTGGATGCTGCTGCAGTTCACCTTGGCGGTGGAGCTTGGGGTATGATAGCCTGTGGTCTGTTGTCAAAGGATGGACTCATGGCTGGAAATCCTAAGGTATAGACTTTTTAAAATTGTTCAAAATAGTTTTCAGCTTCACAAAAAGGTATTATGGCCTTTGTCAATTTTAAAATGCAGGTGTAATTCTGTTATAAAAAATATTCATTATAAAGAAATTTTTCAAAGGTCCAGGCCATATCATGATGGAGATACTGCAGTAAAAATCGTATTACAAGTTGTTTTAACATTCATCACTGCAAATTTATTTCTTTGTGGGGTTTTCATAGTTTAACTTACCATTGCTAACATGTATGTGTTTTTCTTGCAATGACTTTTCCTACTTCAATGAAGGGAAGATAAGTTGCTGGTCTTGATTCAGATTTTTTGCTGCATTCTCCTGGAAAACTGAATTATTTGGCTATTTTAAAAATGACTTGAATTGTAAAAAAAAAATGTTCAATGATTTCTGGATAAACTGTCAGGTACAAATTTTTTTTTAATCTCTTGTGAAATTTTTTCTCAAGGGTCTTTGGAAGTTTGTTATTACAACATTTCCTCTGTATTTCAGATTTTGGCATGGAATGCTGCTGGAACACTTGCCATTGCAGTTTGGAGTTTTGTTCTGACTGGATTGCTGTGTGGAATCATGAAGTACACTCACTTATTGAGGATTGGTGAAGAAGAAGAAATTAAAGGTAAATTTTTTAAATGCACAAGTGCTTCTGCCATCTTGTAATTTAAAATTTATACATCACCCAAGGTCTGGATGTTGCCAAGCATGAAGAGCCTGCCTACCCAGTGGAGTCCTGGCTTGAGGACCAATACATCAAGCATGATTCCATACTGCCACTAGGGGGCGCTTCAGTTTCTTCCCTAAATGGTAATGAAATAATTTCTTGGCGGAAAATAGGACTCATTTATTTTTTTATGATTTTATCCAGATGTTGAAAGGAGGAGTCGATTACTCTGACCTTTTTGTTTACCTGTGGTCCTTGGAGTTAAATAGCTGAGTTTTAAGAAAACTGTTAGCTACTGGCGTCTTAGTTTGCGTAGTTTTTTCCTTACTGAGATTTCACAGTGCTATATTTCTAGAGCGATGATTTAAATAAATATTGACTTCTCGTGAAATTTCGCCATTGGTTTCAATTACTCAAAAAAAATTCTCTCGGCTTTTTTCCCGCCAAATCATAAAATCTTTGGTTTGGTCTTCGGGAAAAAAAGGGTCGCCTTCTTTCTGGAGCTGCTCAGTTGTCCCCCACCAGTTGGAAACTTCCGCCCATTTAAAAAAAATTATTGCGTGTGAACTGTTGGTGATACAGTTGCAAGAATTTTGGCCGAAAATAATTTAAAGATCGCGAATTAAAAAAAAAAAGCAAAAATGAATGAAAATAGCGCCTCGGGTGAGAGTGGGACAAATAATGTGACATCAGTGATGGAGGAGATACGAGGTATTAAAGAAACTATCAAGATGATGAAGATGAGCACGGATGACGGATTTCTCCTCACTTCAGCCATGATTATTTTTTGTGAGTGCAAAAAAAAAAAAAGAGTTCAACTTTGAAGACCAAGAGAAAAATTAAGTGGCGAATTTTGCTCATTCGTATTTTTGCTCAGTCATGCAAACCGGATTCGCATTATTGGAAGCTGGTTCTGTGAGGTCCAAGAATACCACCAACATCCTGCTGAAAAATCTGCTGGACATTTGTGAGAAAAATTTTTTGTGTGCAAATTTTTCGCACTAGATACATTTTATTTAAAATTCAACATTTCTCAAACCTCGGCAAACATGATTCAGTCCGGAAATCTCGTGATTATCGTGAATTTTTTAGGGTACCACTTTACTGTATCGGGATCATCAGAGCATGTCAATTTTGATTGGCACATGTTCTTGTCAGCAATTACCTTTTAGATGAAAAAAAGCCACTCGAGCGGATTTGAAAATTGACAGTAATTTATTCTGAAAATCATCCCTTGTCGCTTCCTGTGAGGTAATTTTCTATTGAGTTTCTCTGGGCTCCTTCGCGACGTAGAAATTATATATATTGTGTTGAAAGAAGAATTCTGGTTTTCGATTTGAAAGTTAATAACAGGAAATTTTGAAAACAATCTAGGGTCATAATTTCATTCTCTGTTGGGCTACGGAATTCACCTTATGCATGCTTTTTCGAATTCTTGAATCCTATTCGAGCCACCAAATGCGAACAAAATTTTAATAAACTGGAACCGAGAAAGTATGGCATCTATAATCGTGATACAATTGTCAAAAAAGATATTAAAATACTATTTGATTGGTATTATATGTCATCATCACTCCAATCGATTTTTAAGCCTCTTTACTTACTACGGTTCAATTAGCATTTGATTTAAATTGCAATTATTAAACTTAAAACCTAAGTCTGGTCGTGCAATTTTTTTCAATACTAATGAAATCTCACACGAAAAGGGGGTGAAAAAAAACTTCAAGGGCAGATTCTTCTTTAAAAAAATTTGTCGCCGCGAAACTTTTGAACACTACTGCATCATTTTTCTGCCAGAAACTTTCAAACCTCGTGGCACAGTAATGAAAACATTTTTCCAACTAAATTTCACTGAATCAGTGCACGAAAAATGAAGATGTCTCAGGCCCCGAATGAAAATATTTTAATGAGTGACGTGAAGTGCAACTCAAATTTCTTCTGAAGCTTAAACCGCATTTTTAGCGGAGTCTATTTATTAAACAAACGCTAATATTTTTAATGTGGCATAATGGAACATAGTAGCGGGTAAAATCAATAGCCACCTGACTGCATGAGGTTGGTGGGATACGGGATTGCTTACGGTTCTGGCCACCCCTTCATTGGCCTCACCAAATTCGCGTCTTCCGGTCTCACGCCGGACGAGTACGCCAAATGGTTCTTCCAGTTCGTTTTCGCAGCCACTGCAGCCACAATAATCTCCGGTGCAGTAGCTGAACGATGCTCTTTGGTTGGACATTTCTCCTACGTAATACTCCTTTCAGGTACTCAATTCATTTGTTTTCTCATTTGACAACTGTGATGTGTGAACCATTTAAGATGGCATTATCACTGCGCTTGCGCGACTAGAGTTTAAACTAGCGACACCTACATCGAGTAGAGAAACTACTCAGTCGAGTTATTCTAATGGAAGACAGGTGTCGTTCGCACATTCACGGAAATAGCCCCATCGTTCCTGAATTTCAGCGATCTTCTGCGTAAAAGCCGTTCGGCAAAGCGAAAAAAACCAATTGAAAACTATTTAGTTTAAATTCTAAATTCTTTTAAAATTTGAAGATCTACACGGAAAAAAAACTGATTTCAGCTCATCTATTTTATTTTCGGACGAAGTTGTAGAAAAACGATGAATTCTTCGTACCTAGATGTCGCACTTCCAGGAAATAAAGTGGTCGTACACATGATGGCTTCCTAGTGGTCAGGTTTTTTACTGCAAGGGGAAATTTGGTAGAATGTGGGAAGAATGTACTGGAATATGCAAGTCATTTNATGATAAACTAACCATAATATACAGTAGTAGTGAGGTTAGCTAAAAATTCGGAGAAATGAATGATGCCAAGTTAATCGTAAACTAAATTTAACGTTAATAATTTGAATTTTGGATTCAGACCAGCACAAATTTTTTCAATACTAATGAAATCTCACACGAAAAGGGGTAAAAAAAAACTTCAAGGGCAGATTCTCCTTTAAAAAAATTTGTCGCCGCAAAACTTTTGTACACTACTGCATCATTTTTCTGCCAGAAACTTTCAAACCTTGTGGCACAGTAATGAAAAAAAAAATTTTCAACTGAATTTCACTCGATCAGTGCACGAAAAATGAAGATGTCTCAGGCCCCGAATGAAAATATTTTAATGAGTTACGTGAAGTGCATTAGTTTAAAGAAGACTTCGAATTTGGCGTAAAAATCGCCTCAGATAAATAATTTGTTTGCGATTATAAAAATTACACCGTATTACCTTGTATCATCGCCCATTTTAGTTATCGGTGGACTGACGTACTGGTTGGTGGGATACGGGATTGCTTACGGTTCTGGCCACCCCTTCATTGGCCTCACCAAATTCGCGTCTTCCGGTCTCACGCCGGACGAGTACGCCAAATGGTTCTTCCAGTTCGTTTTCGCAGCCACTGCAGCCACAATAATCTCCGGTGCAGTAGCTGAACGATGCTCTTTGGTCGGACATTTCTCCTACGTAATACTCCTTTCAGGTACTCAATTCATTTGTTTTCTCATTTGACAACTGTGATCTGTGAACCATTTAAGATGGCATTATCACTGCGCTTGCGCGACTAGAGTTTGAACTAGCGACACCTACATCGAGTCGAGAAGCTACTCAGTCGAGTTATTCTAATGGAAGACAGGTGTCGTTCGCACATTCACGGAAATAGCCCCATCGTTCCTGAATCTCAGCGATCTTCTGCGTAAAAGCCGTTCGGCAAAGCGAAAAAAACCAATTGAAAACTATTTAGTTTAACTTCTAAATTCTTTTAAAGTTTGAAGATCTATACAGAAAAAAAAACTGATTTCAGCTCATCTATTTTATTTTTCCTGCTTCAACATCTTTTTGCTACTTAAGAAGCATGGATCTACAGCGTGAAGGTCCTTTATTTCACCAGCATGTGTACTACCGAAGGATCACCAGTCCAAAAAATGACGTTCCCCTTTAAACCATCTATGTGGGAAGAATGTACTGGAATATGCAAGTCATTTTCCCTTTTACAGTACATGTTGTACCCTGCTAACTCAAACCTGGTCAAATCAAAAACCTGCCTATTCCATATTTGTTTTTAGTTGTTTGTCATCTGAATCCCCTCATTTACAATACTGCATCCGCCTTAATCATAGAATTCTCTCCTCAAACTTCTGTACCTAAAATTTTAGAGGTCTTTGGACTATCATTCTTGGACTAAGGAAGGTAAAACGCGATAAAAAACTTTTATTTGATGCTTTTCAAAAGGAAGTTGCGCAAATAAAACACTTGTATATCAAGTGTTTTATGCGAATTTTATCGCTGTTATGCAAGTCAATCCCATGCAGTGCATAGACCCCAATTTACCGTACAAGTAAAGTACTGTGTGTCATGCTGCATTCTTCTGCCAGGACAGTCGGATTCCATGGAATGATGGATTCCCGGGGAAAGGGGTTTCCTCTCACTTAATGTTGGGTTTCCACCAGGTCTGGTTTATCCCGCATGCACGCATTGGGCGTGGTCTGATGACGGGTGGCTGAAAGTGACCGACTTCCACGATTTCGCCGGCAGCAGCGTGGTGCATGTAACTGGCGGCGCGGCGGCATTGGTCGCCTGTGTCCTGCTGGGACCCCGGATTGAACGCACGGATCCGGCGACTGGCAGGCCGCGCGCTTTGCGTGGACATAGCGTTCCGGTGGGATAACTGAACGGCTGCTTTGTTGTCAATTGTTCCCCAACCTTCCTGGGTCCAAAGGCCAGCAAATTTCCATAAAAAATTTTTGGCAGACCGGCGAATTTCCCAACAACAACAAAAAGATGTTCTGCAGACTGGCAAAGTTTCATAAATTTTTTGTGGACTCAAGAATGTTTTGCTTTGAAGACTTCATGGAGGGCATTTAAAAAGTAAGACGAAAATTCTTGATTACTTCGTCGATATGTTTCTCTACAGAAGTGTTTGACTTTTCACCCGAACTTCTTTCCAAAGAACCATTATTACCTTGTAATAGGTCTTTTGATTGTTTCAAAGGTTCGGGGATGAAACAATTGGATTACTGTACTGTAACATACAATGTTTATAGCTTATCTGATTTTTTGTGGTTAAATATTGAACTTGTCCTTTTTTATTGAAAATTTTATTTCTTAATGAAGCCTTGAAGAAGTGATTGTGATTCACATGCTAAATTTTTCTAAAAAAGCAAAGAAAACCATGAAAATGAAGAGTTCACTTATGTGGGGACCAACTTTAGTATGCAATTATGTAAATCCCTGCTTTCCTTAAATGTATTGTAAATGTTCATGTATTGAAATTTGTTATTATTATGTAATTATGTGAATGAATGAATGAACAGAACACCTTATTTGCCGCTTTTCAGCATTCACAAGGCACAATCAAGATTTCCACATCCAAACCCCCTTCCCACCCAACCCAAATCCACTCAAAGACATTTAATCACTTCAGAGCAGGAATTATGTAGATTACATAATTATGTATTTGAATGTTTGTTTGCTCTTCAAAAGTTTGCTGCTCTGGGTGGATTCATCCTCATGTTCGGCTTCCTGGCTTTCAATGGCGCGTCGCAGGGCCAAATTTCCGCACCTGGAGACGGTGCCAAAATCAGCATAGCTGTCACCAACACTGTGTTGTCGGGCTCAGCAGCTGGTCTATCAACTCTGTATTTGCACAAACTCGGCTTCTTTTCTGCACAGGGATCGCAGAACAGCTGGAGCTTCCTGGTCACTCTCAACGGGGCACTCACCGGAATGGTTTAGATTTGTTCTTAATTCGTCAATTTTGATAGAAGAAGA